CGAGAGGGGAGCTGAAGGCACGGTCAAAGAGAAAGGTTTTGAGACCGGCCTTGAAGGAGGAAAGGGAGGAGGCGGCGAAGGCACTGGGGGATGGAGTTCCAGAGCCTCGGGGCTGAGAGGCTGAAGGCCCGACCACCGATAGTAGGGCGGTTGGGGCGGGGGACGTGGAGCAGACCGGAGCCAGAGGAACGGAGGGTACGGGCAGGTAGGTAGGGGGATAGTAGGTTGGAGAGGTAGGAGGGAGCAAGGCCGTGAATGGCCTTGTAGGTGAGGATGAGGATCTAGTACTCCGCAGAGTACTAGATATATGGAAAAGACTCCTAGAAAAAGAGATTAATACTGAGGTCTAAAATATTGTATTTTCTTAAGGAAGTCTGAACATTTTACTGTAGAGCTTGTTGTAAAGAATGACTGAAATAGAACTTGTTTTTTTTCTCAGTACAAATCCTTTTTATGGGGAATATTGCCAGAACTTTCTCATTCATTAAAATATGTCAGAGTGGTCAATGTCAGTTTCCAGGATACTGGTTTAACTGCAAATGAAGCAGAGTTAGGGTGGATTCCCAAGGCAGTTTTCGGCCCAACCATTGAGATAAAATCAAGGGGGTGGGGGAATTGGCTATAGAAGCGAGCACTCCCACCCTCTGTTCAATGGTGCAGTCAAATCCAGTCTTTAAATATTTTCGATTCAATCTTAGCAGTCAATCTAATCTTAACTGGCATGATTTTTGTCTTGACTTCTGAAGCTAGTGTTTTGTTGCCTTTCCACAGGACAAAGCATTCCAGCACTGAACAAAATTAAGTCTTTATCTTATTTTTAGTGACTAAAATGCCGCTTTCCATGATTGTGAGGAAGAACAGAGAGTGCAATCTTAGGCTTGACCATTGTGCCAAAACTGAGATTGCATCCCTTCCTCCAACTTCACCAATGTGCAGGCCAAAGATTTTATCACTCCATTCTGGCTGCGGGTTATTGCAAATAGTTGGGCTGTTGTATGCTGGTAATGAAGACTTGCAGGCTGTGGATGGTACATGTTAAAACATGGTAATTCACTCTGACTGTTACATTTTTTATAGGCTAAAAATTAAGAATTCATATTCAGTTATTTAAAGTACAGAATCAAAGAAAATGCATCTTGGCTGACTGATGTTACTTATGTGAATCTTTAATATTTTATAAGTGCTGCATAGACTTTGCCAGTTACATGCAAATGAGCATAACTAGAAATATAGTCCGAAATTATCTCCCCAAATAATATCATATAATACCTATTTTAGTTTTTTTGCAATTTGCTTTATAAAAGGGATGTATATTCAGAGTTTTATTTTAATCATACTTCAAAGCAAACTATACAGTAAAGCTTTCACTCAATTACACCTATTATTTGTTGCCTTCAAGACAATAATAGCCTTAATTACAATGATTGCATTTATTGGCTGAAGTAGAATATCACGTACAGTATTTTACCTTTGCTGTCTGTGGTCAGCTACCTAATCTAATCCAGGCACATAAACAACACAGGTTATTCCAATTACAGAAGAGCTACAAATATATCTGGAGAGGTTTCTGGTTGAGGGTTAGATGTTTTACATGTTTCCCCAATTAACTACTTCACTTTGGTTTGGCCAGCTCACAACATAAGTGTTAAAACTTCAATACTGTAAATATGGTCCCTATTTAAATTAAATATGATGCTAATTGTAGAATTCAAATATTAATAGCAGAGCATCAATAGGCATGGAAATGTACTATGTCTAAGAATAACGTGATATTTTAGACTACCTGAGCTTAAAGATTGTGTGCCTTTTTAAAACTTTAAACAGGATTAAAAAAAAAGATCAATACTTTAGGGTGCAACAAGACAGTAGTAGAAGAGGATATAGGGTTAGAGTTGTAAAGGGCAATTTCACAACATATATCAGCATGTTTTTCATTACTCAGAGAGGAATTAACAACTGGAACAGGTTGGCAGGAAAGGTGATTTATGCCATTTAAAAATGAATCCAGAACGGGAATGGTAGGGTGGGTGTTCTGGATGGAATCAGATGGGCCAAACAGATCTTGTGATCAGTAACCAAATTTCACATTCTATGTGGTGTTAACTGTTGTAATGTTGGAACAAGAACAAGATTTCTTGCAGATTGCAAAATTTTTATTTGTTGCTCTTTACATTCCTGAAACAATTTCAGCTTGAGTATTATTTTGGTTATGCAATTTTTCTTGGCTGGAGTACATTGAGATATGAATATTCTGGGTGTCTAAATAATAGAAAATGTAATGGTTTATTGGAATATTTCACTGTTGAAAACATTGCAACTCAGTTATTGTTTTCAAACCAAAAGTTACAGGCCCTCTTTAAGGGAGTGATACACAGGATTTTGAGGTTTGGCCTTGATGATCTAATAGGGTCAAAATTGAATTATTCCTGTTGAATTGAATTGAATTCTGTTCTGTATTTAAGGAATGATATTAATATTTGCTTTGAAATCCCCCCACCTGATTTCTGAATAGTAACAGCAGTGTTCCTCAGGGCTCTATCTTCGATCCCCTCCTCTTCAACCTCTACATGCTCCTCCTTGGTGACATCATCCGTAGACATGGGTCAACTTCCACATGTACTCATTAATTTACCCATTCATGCAATAGTGGATGTTGCTAAAGTTGTTGTATTCAAACGGATGAATACAAAGCAAATGACACCCAACGGTATCTCTCTGCCTCCACCCTCGATTCCAGGACAACTGCCGATCTGACTCTCTGTCTGACATCAAGTCCTGGATGAGAGCCAACTTTCTACAGCTGAATGGCAGCAAGACCGAGGCCCTCCTGATTGGCTCACACCAGCACCTTAGCACCTCAGGCACTGGCAGCATCAGCATCCACGATTGCATACTCCACTTCTCCAGACCAGTTAGGAACCTGGGCGTCTCGTTTGACCCTCAACTGTCTTTTCTCCCTCGTATCCGTGCCATGACCCGCTCTGCCTTCCCGCACCTTCGCAACATTGCCCATCTCCATCACTGCCCGAAACTCTAATACATGCATTCATCACCTCAAGGCTCGACTACGGAAACTCCCTCCTTGTTGGCCTGCCCAACTCTTCCCTCCACAAACTGCAGATCATCCAGATCTCCGCAGCTCGTGTCCTCTCTTGCACCAGGCTCTGGGACCCCATCACCCTCACCCGGCTCCACAGGCTCCCCATCCCTCAGAAGATAGAATTCAAAATCCTCGTCCTCACTTTCAAGGCCCTCCATGGTCTTGCCTCCTCCTACATCTCTGACCTGCTGACCCCCTATCAACCTGCCCGCTCCCGCCGTTCAGCAGGCTCCAGCCTGCTCCAGGTCTCCCGCCCAACCATTGGCGGCCGGGCTTTCAGGCCTCTCTGCCCCAGCCATTTGGAACTCCATCTCACAATCCCTTCACCTTGCTCCCTCCCTTGCCTCCTTCAACACAACTCAAGACTCTCCTTTTCGACTATACCTGAGCCGCCCTCCAACCTCTCTGCACTCCCTCATTCCAAACCTGCCCCCCATGCTCGGGTCCTGATCCCCGACAGTTCAGTGCCTTGGGACTTCTTCCCAATGTGAAAGGTGCTTTACAAATGTAATTTTGTGTTGTTGTTGTTTCCAGATTCTTTATACTGATGATAGTCATGAAATAGTTATAATTCAAATCCATTATAGGTATTATACAGAGAATCCAAGTGCGTTCAAAACAATCTAAAACATTATTGAAGGTTAACCTGGTTCATCAATCTGGTTCATCCGTGAGAATTGGAGAGAAAATGCAAATTGTCAGTCATACAAGTCAAACCTTTAATAGGTTTATTGCTGCACTAGCTGAACAAGTGCAATGAATCTTACTAATTCACCTTTTTTGATAGAATACTGCATGGAATGCCTATACACTTTCTAGGAATATCACGAATATACAATAGTTTGCCTCATCTTTATCAAACGCTCTCTCAGTAGCCCCTTTTTTACTGAGTATAAATTTCAGCTGCACTCAGCTATGCTTCTTCCGAGCTTACCATGACCCGCTCCGCCTTTCCCCACCTCCGCAACATTGCCCGAATCAGCTACTGTCTCTCATCCCAGGCCACCGAGACCCTTATGCTCGCATTCATCACAACCGAGCTCGACTACGCAAACTCCCTGCCTCCCCAACTCCTCCTGCCAGATCACCCAGAACGCTGCAGCCTGTGTCCTCTCCTGCACGAGCCTCCACGACTCTATCACCACCATTTCGCCTGACTCCACTGACTTTGCATCACACAGAGGATACAGTTCAAGATCTTGGTCCTCACCTTCAAATCCCTCCACTGCCTTGTTCCTCCCTACCTCTGTGATCTCCTAACCCCCTACCAACCTGTCCGGTATCCCCGCTAGGTGGGCTCCAGCCTGCTTCATATCCACCGCCTTGCTCGCCCTACCATTTTTGGCTGGTGGGCCTTCAGCCTTCCTACTCCCACTCTCCGGAACTCCATCCCACAATCCCTCCACTTCACCTCCTCCATTGCCTTCTTCAAGACCTGCATCAAGACCCTCCTCTTCGACCATGCCTTAGGTCACCCTCATCCCACTACCCTCCCCGCCCTCCACTCCTCCTGATCCCAACCACCAGCTCAGGTGTGGATCCCTGACTGTCCAGTGCCTTGGTATGTCCTCCTGACATGAAGGGCGCTATACAAATGTAATTTGTTGTTGTTATTCTGATTAGGTAGATGAAAACAATCAAGCTTAAAGTAACCCAGGCTGATAATAAATCGTTCATCAGCCACCACAAAATAAGGATAACAATATATGAAGAAACACACCAGCTTCTTTTCCAATTAAAGAATAAGCTTTTAATTCTGAATTCTAAACAAATAGAATATACATACAGCCTTTAAAGCTAGCAAGTAAAAGATTTAAACGAATTGAAATGTTTTGCTTAGCAAAACAATACGTTTCTTCACAGAACAGGAACAAACAATGAGGCAAACAATAAAGCAGTGAGGAAAATCCTCTCGCTCGCCCTTGATATTATTCTCCAGACCTGCTTCGGAACTGTTGAAAGGCCAATTTAGATGAAAGTTTTTGCCAGCTTCTCACACTAGGCAAAACTCTTTGGTATCTCTATCTTCTCTATCGGGAATGCTTGAAAGTACTGATTCAATCAAAGTGAACATGGTCCTTGTCTTTGGGACAATGACCATGGAACATTTTAAACTTTAGCAGATTTACAGGAGGGTGTGAGAAATTTGAAAAATATTGTAAATATTGTCACCAGGAACATAAACTGCCACTTTGTATGTTCATCCATGAGACATAATCAAATAGTCTTCATAGGTGTCTTCAGAATGTTCATTGCTGGTTGTTCTGTCGTTGTTTCCTGATGTCCACTTGTTTTCTGAGTATTGGCTGTTTTTCACGATTATATTGACCTGTTTTGGGATATATACTCTATCTTTCCTCTGCTGCAAAAACAAAAACAATTGCTATCAGAAAGCAAACAAAATGAGAATTAAGGCACCTTTTAAAAAAAGTCCTAGTGGACATTTATTGAATACAGTATTTTGAGATGTGAGAAGTCACCTTTCTAAATATGAACTATATCTAGATATAGCAAAAGGTCAAATATATTTGACAAATGTACCCTGCAAACATATTTACAATGCAGAGTACAATTTTATATTTATATGGCACCTTTTAGTTTGGGAGGACGAACCAAGGCGCTTAAATTCAGACCATTATTTAGACCAGATGTTCCCTAACTATGGGGTAACCTCCCAGGGGAAGCGTGGATATGTGCCAGAGGAGGCGCAGATGTGTGCCAGGGAAGGTACCAGTTGCATCAGCCCCGGGCTTCGTGGGACTGACCCCACATCCCAACAAAGCCGCTCCGCTGACAGTAAAATCCTGCAACAACGCTTTCTGTGCAACAATATCCATGACAACGGTGAACTGATACAATCTATAATTGTTTGCTGTAATGATTTCCTAAAATGTTTCTGCAGTTTTATTTTAGCTATTGCAATTTGTACATTTTTTAACAGAACCGTGAGATAACATGAAAGGTGTTTTATGAAATAAAATTAGTATTTTTGACTTATTATACTATATTGATCAAAGCCTTTCTAGTTTATTATTCACATTCTTGCAAAGTATAGGATTTTATTTCTTTGTGTTGTCTTAGTGGTAGGGAGACACAATTGTTCTTTTCCTCAGCTATGACAAAGCTTGAGAACCTCTGATTTAGACCATTAATCAAATATCCTTTCAATATTTACAGATTTGCTTGCCCACAATCAATTTCCAAAGTTGTTGCGAAGATTTTTTTTGCATCTACTTCTCTGTTTTGAGCCACAATATATTCCTGACAGTATAATAGAAGTAAAAGTCTAATGTCAATCACAATTCGCAGAAACTTTAAGGTCTTCTAATTTCCCAAATGACAACACATCTTTGCAACAAAACTTGCACTTATATATAGCCCCCTCCACGCAGAGTAGCATCTCAGAGTGGCAGAACAGTGGCAGAACCTGACTCCGAGCCGGGAGGGGGTGGACTGGGATGTTGAGTGACCGTAAGCACGGTTGAAAAAGAAGATTTTCAGGCGGGACTTGAAAAAGGGGAGAGTGTGGGCAAGGCAGAGGGATTGAAGGAGAGTATTCCAGAGTTTTGCGGCATAGTGGCTGATTGAGCGACCTCCAACGGTGGAGCGGGGGGTACGAGGGACAAAAAGGAGTCCGGTACCAGTCGAATGGAGGTGCCTGGTGGTGGATTGCGGACTGAGGAGGTTGGAGATGTAGGGAGATGCCATGGAGTGAATGGATTTGAATACGAGGATGAAGATCTTTAAGTTGATCCGTTCAGGGAGCCAGCGGAGCCAGGCCAGAACTGGTGAGATGTGGGTACAGAGTTTGGTTCAGGTATGCTTTACTCCTTGGATGCTTGCTAGAGAGGATCATGGGGGAGGGGGAGGAAGAAGGACTGTTATTTGTGGGGCAGTGGGCCAGGTTAAACAGTACAGATGTGGAAATAGATGAATATTCTGAAATTTGGTTTATTATATTTGAGCAGCAGTGGATACAGTAAAACTCACATAAGTCTTGTCTTTATCAATCATTTAATTGCCTAAGTCGCACTTCCACCCAAGTTCCATTCAGTTTCCTAACAAAACCTCTTAGATTTCTTTGCACAACTCATATTTTTCACCTCCTAAAGCATAACACCACTCCCCTATCCTCCGCTACTCCCGCACTTACCGGCTGCATTGAATCTTGGGAAATTATGTCCTGACCCGTCGACCCACGCTCATTTACAGGCGGCTGCATTGAATCACGGGAAACATAGTCTTAATCCAACGCCACATATGTAGAAGAACTTCATTTGGGTTCAATGCGATTCCTATACTTGCCGGTAAGTGTGTATGTGGCGACGGGTCAAGACTCATTGAATGGTGGGAAAGGTAGTCTTGACCCGTCACCGGATGCACACTTACCAGCTGGATTGAATTACACATGCGCTTTGTAGATTATTGATTAAATCGGATTTTATATGACTTCTACAGTTTTGCGTGCAACTCAAATTTTGCGTAAGTCATTTTAATTTTTATGGTCCCGACTGATAAGACTTATGTGAGTTTTACTGTATTTAAGCAAACTATTCCCTCAGAGAATTAAATTGGTGGGTTAGAGCTTCTGATGGGGCAAGGCACATTTGAACTTCGCAAGGTTCCAGCTACTTGCCCTCAACTGGGGCACAGTGAAAATCCAGGCAATGAGGTTGCCATTTTAAAAGCTGAAAGATAAATTGTTGCACCGCACTTAAAATGCAAATTTCATATATCCTTATTCTTGGTGAGAGCAGCATTTTAATATAATATTAATATCACTTACATGTGCACAGAATAGGAACATAAAAACTGCTCCAATGAGCACGAGTGCTGCAAACACACCAATGCCAATGATTACACCTCGGCGGGAGGATGGTGAATTGGGCAAATAATCTGGAAAGATACGAAGTATTAGATTATAAGAATGCATAAAATAAATGAGCATCATTATGTTTATGTATTGTAACACATTATGGCTCACTTGGAGAATAACACACATCAATTTCAGTTCAATGACCCTCTTGTTCTAAAATCACATCAAACATGGCATTGTTTTCACTTTTACAGCACCAAGTCTTGTGAGTCAGAATTTCTACAATGTAACAAAATGTAATGTTAATAACAAAACCAATGTAATAGATTACAATGCCTGTCCTATGTCAGTACTGTTTGGATACCATATGGTCTCAACCAAATACCAGCAAACAGCCAACTGACTGGGAGGGCAGAGACCAGAACAGTGAAAAGGTGAAACTAATTGGGGAAATAGGAAATATTTTCAGGTATTGTTAACACAAAGAACAGGCTAAGGAATATCTCAAATGTTATCCTTAATCTCTAATCACTAGAGATGACCACAATTTTGTTTAATATTTGTTTTCCAGGTTTGATGACTAAAAATGATGAAATTCAGCTCTTCCCCACCACCACCAAAACCTGAAATCCAGTTTAAGCAATTGTGAAGCTTTGTATGTAAATAATTTCTGAAATCTGTAAGGAGGTCAGCACAGCAGTTTTTGCATGCTGACCTGACCTTTCAGATTGTTTAAATGCACAGTTTGCTTTCTATACAGGTCCTTACAGAGGATGTGACTCGCAATTATAAAACTCAGCATTGGAACAAAGAAGCTTGTCAATGAGTAAATAAAGAATCAGTCATTAATTCAGAGATCATTTTTTCCACATGAACCTTTTCAGTTCTATTTTTGCTTTAGTATTATGAAAACCTCTCAGACAAACTGGGTTGAATTGCATCTGTTGATGGTGTATTCATAATAATAATAATAATCCTTGCATTTCATATAGCGTTTTTCACGTCTTCTAGACTTCTCAAAGCGCTTCACAGAATATACTGTAAAGTGAATTGATTGTATATGTGTGGGCAAAAGGCGGCAACCAATTGCACACAGGAGTGTCCCACAAACAGTTGTGGATTGAGTGATCAAATAATTATTTTATTCTTTTTTGAAGGATTATTATCCCTGGAAAAGCGATCCGTCAATTGACTAACAACCGGGTTCCTACTTATGCTAGGTAAACAGAGGTGTGTGGAGTAAGGAAACTTGCCCAACATTTCACCATGCCGGAAATCGAACCTAGGTTTTTCGTTTACGAGGCAAGTGCTTTAACCACTGAGCTACAGGACTATTGATAGCGGGAAGTGGTAACAGTACTGTGTGACATTGGGACAAGCTTGATAAGATCACTTTTTTAAGTCACAATTGCACTCTGTGCTGAAGAATGGAGGCAAACCTTAAATAGGTGTTTCTGTTTGGAGAGCAGACTTTTTGCATTTCCCCAAATTTCCCAAAATTTGAAATCCAAATATTATAAATTACCTACATAGACTTTTCGATTATATGTGTAATTTCATTTTTCCTACCATAGATTCTTGTATACTATCAATGTATAATTACTGTTTCATGAATTATTTTTTCTGTGTTCAAGATACATGACATGAGCATGTTCTGGAGGAAACTCAAATGTTCAGTGTATCTTGCCTATGTAACCTAAGAATATTCATTACACCTCACTTGATCTAGCAGGTTAGTATAACAATGGGGGATTGAGAAAGCCTTAAATGTTCTGCTTAAATATGCCTTTTATAATAATTGTATTTACTAAAAGAAATAACCTGAAATGCAAATGGATATATTTAAAGGCAATGCTGAATTTACAAGCACATGAATGAACATTCCAAAAATTCAATCTTTGTCTTTACCTTTTATATGCAAATAGATCTTCTGCACTACCTTTCCTCCTGGAAAAGTGTGAATTTGGCAGGAATACCAGCCTTTGTCAGATTCCTGAGCTTCTTTAATAATAATGGTGACACTTTTCTCAGTGACTTCCAATGTTGCTCTTGGTTTGTATGAAGAATTAAGTATTTTGTTCACTGGTGGATTGTAGATTGCAATCATTGTGTTGTTATCCTCCTTATTCACCTGAAATTGTACTGGTTTGTTGGAACCTTTACCAGGAGCTTCACATTGCAAGATAGCTTCATAGCCTTTCACTGCCGTTACATTAATAACACCTTCAATCTGCTGTGTTTGGACACCTAGAAAAAAGGGAATTAAAGTTGCATTCACTCTATTAAGGTTGATTACAATATATGCCAAACTTACAAAATACTGTACAAAAACAAGTCCTTGTATTATGAGGAAATATAGGCAGAGGACTGCATCGGAGATTGTTAAATACAATGTTTATTTTGACAACGAAGAACACACGTTGGCTCATTCTTGCCTCAGAAGGTTGTGGATTCAAGCCCCACGTCAGGACTTGGAATCACATAGTCTAAGGTCACATTCACAGTAGTGCCGGCAGTGCGTTGTATTGTCAGAGATGCAGTTCTTCGGATGAGACGTTAAACTGAGCTTCCGGTTGCCTATTCAGGTAAATGTTATAGATCCTATGGCACTATTCGAAAACAGGAGGGGTATCCTAACCAACAATCAACCAAATAAAATCAGTCATTCACTTCACTATGAGCAAACTGGCTGCCACATTTCATCCACAAAACACACCACACTCCACTTTACAGTAGTATATCCTGTGAAGCGCTTTGCGATTGTCAACAATTTTTGATGATAAGGCGCTTTACCAAATGCAAGGATTATTATTACATAAATTACCAACATGTTATACACTGCATCTTCGTTAACAAACAGTATTCAGCTGCTTTGAATGCTATAATTGATTTATATGGCACAATTTCATCTCAGTGAAAAATAAACATCTATTATCAACAAAATGATGGTCTGGAATGGGTCTTCTTGGTTTCTTGTGCAGAATGGATTACAAAGATTTATTTTCCTGACCTCTACAATGATGGGAAGGGTTGATGAGAAAAGACAAACCAGCGAGAGAGATCTTTACTATTCCATGAGCTGTGCTGCTCGACTAGGCTTTATTTCTGGCATTGAATGCCACATAAGACTCACTGGTGGTTATTCGATGGATGTTGTTATGGTTACTGCTGGCACTTGCTGTCGCTGAGCGCCAGTGCACTACTGTTGATATTTTTCCCCAGCTACCAGTTGCTCATAGCAAAGCTCTTTATGTTCAGGTCAGTATTTCAGATGTGTGGAATAAATTGTGCATCCACATATACTGAAATAGCAACTATTTACCTTAACAGTATTCCTAGTTGCATATATTTATTCAAAAATAATTAAACAATTGAAACAACTCAAAAAGTATTTTAATATGTATATCAAAACATTTACAAAATGTTCATATATTCAAAACTGTTTTTTGTTGTTGATCTTGTCTAATTTTGTCAACAAAGGCTATCCTTGCGGGGGGTGGGCGGGAGATAATCAACACCTTCTGCTTCCACCATCTCTCTAGGGAGATACATCTACTATTCGCTCACTGAAGTAGTGTTTCTGCACATTTGTTCCGAATTTACCTCATTTCAATCTCAAGCCATTCCTCTGGTTCACTGTTCAGTACAAGATAAAACAGTTTATCGTGCTTTATATTTTCTAGTCCCTTTCTAGTCTTAAAGACAGTAATCATATCACCCCTCAACTTTCTCTTCTCCAGCATGAACATGTCCAGTTTACCTAATCACTCCTCGTAGTCTAGTCCCTCCATCCCCTTAATTATTTTTATTTGGGACATCCTCCTGACATGAAAGGTGTTATACAAATGTAATTTGTTGTTGTAGGTCTCCTCTGTATCTTCCGAATTGCTGCATTACCCTTTTTCTATTGTATTGTGGTGACCAGAACTGCACAAAATATTCCAAGTGCAGTCACACCAATTATTTATAAAGTGGCAGATTTACCCCACTATTTCGACTCGATAATGACCTTTTAATGAAACCCAGGATCTGGTTTGCTTCACTCACTGACACCGAGCACTGTTGTGAAATAGATACATTCAACTATAAAATAGACACCCACCTTCCAGCAACAGACAGATACAGAAATACATAAAGTATAGATAGACATGCACATACCCAAGCTTCCATAACAAGCAAAAATAGATGCACAGATTCAAAGCAGGCTGATGCATTCATGACAAATTAGCATTTCATACAGCACTTATAACATCTAAAAGCACTTCACAAGGTTTGGAAATTGTAGCGACTGTGTATCTGTAGGCAGACGCATCAGCTTGTTTGCACACAGCAATATCCGACAAAGAGCCATGAAGTGAAATACCAATTCTATCTTGAAGGTGGCAGGACAGGTAGATAAAGCTGTAAAAAGGGCATATGGGATACTAGGCTTTATAAATAGGGGCATAGAGTACAAGAGTCAGGAGGTTATGATTAACCTAAATAAAACACTGGTTAGGCCGCAGTTGGAATACTGCGCCCAGTTCTGGGTATCACACTATAGGAAGGATGTTAAGGCATTGGAAAGGGTGCAGAGGAGATTTACAAGGATGGTACCAGGAATGAGGGACCTTGATTATGAGGAAAGGCTAGAGAGGCTTGGATTATTCTCATTGGAGCAGAGAAGGTTACGAGGAGACCTAACAGAGGTCTTCAAAATCATGAGGGGATTTAATAGGTTAGAAAGGAAAAAACTGTTTCCACTGATGGGTGTGTCGGTGACTCGAGGTCGCAGATTCAAAATAGTCCCCAAAAGAAGCAGAGGGGAGGTGAGAAGAAATGTTTTCACGTAGCGAGTTGTTCGAATCTGGAAAGCATTGCCTGAAAGGGTGGTCGATAACTACTTTTAAAAACGCGGTGGACGGGTATTTGAGGAGGACGAGTTTGCAGGGTTATGGGGAAAAGGCTGGGGAGTGGGATTGACGTTACATTACATCAAAGAGCCAGCATAAACTCGATGGGCCGAATGGCCTCTTTTTGTGCTGTACAATTCTATGATTCTATGATAGACACCAGGAGAAAGTCTTTTCTCTTTTCAAATAGTGCTACGTGATCTTCGATGCCTATCTAAGCAGGCAGACAGGACCTTGATTTAACATTTCATTCGAATAATGGCACCTCCAGCAATATAACACTCTTTATCCTGACCTTTTGATCTTAGCACATTGGATGGCTGTGAAACAGGCTTGTGACACCCAGTGGAACTTGCCAACTATGGTACATGGCATTAGGATACCAGTAAGGGGATATCTGCTTTTATCAGACAGTATCCTATATGCTTTTGCTGCATTTTATGATGCTGAGTCCTTCCTTATTCCTTTGATTTATTCTTCCAAGCTCTTAAGTTATTTGATACAGAATCACTTCTTCAGTCACTTCTAGAATGAGGATAAGAGGCTGTAAGATGGTATGTCAGTGTAGGATATCACAAAACAGGAAATACCTGCAATCATAAATTACTATAGCACAAAAGGACAACTTCAAAATAGAGATAAACTGGGGAACAACAGGCCAGTTAGTGTAATACTGATTGTGGTAAAATGTTGGAGGGAGTGCACTTCTATCCTGATTCTCGCCTCCTTTTCTTACATTTTGGTTCTTACAGATCTAATTAGTCTGGTTTAAATCTTCTTTCATTTATTTAATTCACTCACTGCTTATTTAGCAACATCAAATGTTGGCATTGCCTGCATTTTTACTCAACAATATTTTGATCACGCCATCCTCCTCCACTGCCTTTCCTCTGTCATCCACCTCAGTGGGACCGCACTTGCCTGGTACGAGTCCTATCTCAGGAACCGCCAGCAGTACATCTCCACAAACGGCTTTTCCTCCCGCTCTCACCCGGTTACCTGCGAGGTACCCCAAGGATCCATCCTTGGCCCCCTCCTCTTCCTAATCTACATGCTCCCTCTTGGGGATGTCATCCGCAGACATGGGGTACATTCTCACATGTACGCGAATGACACCCAACTCGATTTTTCCACCTCACTCTGCGACCCCCAGTCCCTTGATGTTTTGTCAGGCTGCCTGTCAGACCTCAGGGGCTGGATGAGCACAAATTTCCGTCAGCTAAATATTGACAAGACGGAAGCCATACTCTTTGGCTCTCGTCAATGTCTTAAATCGCATGGTTCTCACCTCCACCACCTATCCGACCTCCCCTTAAAACTCTCCGAACCTGTATGCAACCTCGGTGTCAGGTTCGACCCCCAAATATATTCCTCCCCCACATATGGTCCTTCACCAGCACCACTTACTTCCAACTCCGACGCATCGCCCATCTCTGTCAATATCTCACCCCAAAAGTCGCCGAAACCCTGGTCCATGCCTTTGTCACCTCTCGGCTGGATGATTCAAATGCCCTCCTCGCCGGTCTCCCCTCCACTACCATTCATAAAATCCAGATCTTCCAGAATTCTGCCGCCCGCATTCATTCATTCTGCCGCACCAAACTCCTCTCCCCGATTACCCCAGTCCTTGCCAGACTGCACTGGCTGCCTGTCCCAGAGAGGATCGACTTCAAGATCCTCACTCTTGTCTTCAAATCCCTCCACTCCACTGCACCCCCCTACCTCTCTGACCTCCTCTCTCCTTCGCTCCACCGGGTCTGGCCTCCTCCTTGTCCCACGAATCCTCCGCTCCACCATCGGCAGTCGTGCCTTCAGCCACTATGCCCCGAAGTTCTGGAACTCTCTTTGCTTTGCCCCTTCTCTTCCTATTTTCAGATCTCAGCTAAAGACCTTTCTTTTCGTCCGCGCCTTCTTCCCCCTCCCCCTGGCTCGACCCCGGGATCTGTTACTGTGAAGCGCTCTGAGACGCCGTCTGGCGTGGAGGGCGCCATATAAATCCAAGTTGTTGTTGTTGATGATTGACATGCAATCCCATTTCTGTTTGATTTTACTTGTTTGCTTTAAATACAATTCTTGTCTCTTTCTAGGGACGTCCTCCCAACTTGAAAGCCGCTATACAAATGTAATTTTGTGGTTGTTTCTCACCAAGAATAGAAAAGTAAAAAAGCGAACCCAGTAAATATGTTCATTTTTAGCTACTGTATATACAAAATATACTTTCATGTAATATAAATACACTGTCTCAAACTCAAACTACAAAGTTGACTGAATATTGACCTTCTCCAACCACGCTGTCCTAGGCACGCCTTTCACTCAGCCTGCTTCATGTCCTCTGCTCCTGCTCTCTGGAACACTGACCTGGAGTCCCTCCAACTCACTTGCTTCAAGGCACATCTCAAAACGTACCTATTCAAACACATTTTAGGTCTTCTTTCCCCTCTGCACCCCCTCGGCTCCCATCCCCATCTGGGGCACTGAAAAGGGCTTTGAGATGTGAAAGTTTCTATATATAAGTATATATTAATTATTTTGTATTGTATTTCATCAAACACAGCAGCTAATACATGCCAGTGACTTTCAAAATACAGCAATTACATGAGTAGTAAATTACTATGAATTTAAGGGTAAATTTTGATCAGAGCAGAATATGAACCTGGATAACTATGATTCTATAATTCTTTGAAATTGCAAAACAGTGAGTTGGCATACATTGACCCATACTTGATCAAATGTACAGAATATACAGCTATCAACTGCAAAAATAAATGTCAAATATTTGCCTTTCTTTTAAATATTCATTCTAAACTTTCTTCCTATAATATACAAAATATGAATAGGCATGGGAAATGGGTAGGTGAGGGAGCTGTGCACTAAAACATTACGTTGTCATCAACATTTTCATTCTCACTATAGACATTTGTCATAGATGCAAAGATGTTATAACGGCAGAATCCTCTTGTTCTAGCATTTATTCTTTTGGCACAATTCAAAGGAACTCAGTGCTTCAAAGCACTTAAATCTGATGGAACAATAGGTAATAGAAATGACACTGTGCTCCTTAAAGTAATCCTGGACTCATACATTTAAAAGTGAGGAAAAATAACATCAGAAACGTCATCATTTTAAAATAATGAATTAAAAGAGGAATAAGACAAAATTGCTATAGTTGTTTGTTTGATAAATCTACCTGAATTACAAAGTCATAAAATAAATGGAAATTGATTTTGGCCAACAACTGTCCTACTCCATGATTCAAACTTTATTAAAGCATGAATTAATATCATGGATTTAGGGAGTTTCTCTCAGTGTCTTGGCCAACGATCCCCCAAATAAAATTGGTCATTCACCTCATGGCTGCTTGTGAGCCAATGCTGTGCACAAATTGGCTGCTGAGTTAGCCTACAAATCACACAATCACTGCACTTTACAGTATATCCTCCTGTCATGTAAGGCACTACACTAAATGTAAGGATTATTATTACTAAGTTCGGCAATATCACAAAATTGCCCCAGTTAAGAGCAACTGTTCATTTTGTGAATTAATGGTACAATCCAATTTCAAACTCAACTTTTTAAAGTTGAAAATCAATGTCTAATATTACTGTATAAACCAACTGAATTAAGTTTCTCTACTGCAGCGACAATCTGCCTTTGGGAAGGCAGATTTGAGCAATTCCAATTCTGTTTTGTACAAAATTAGATCCCAATAGAGAATGCTGCTTAAATCTCTCATAATAACTGTCAAGTACTAACCAGAATGTAAACAAAATAAATAATTTACTGTAATAGTCCTTGCATTGTTATGGCACCTAATCATCTCAAAATGCTTTTCAAGTAATTGTTTTCAAGTGTAGTGACTATCAATCTGTAGGCAACCAATTTGCACACAAGATACCACAATCAGTCATGAAGAAAATGATTAATTTATCTAGAGGATTGTTGGCCAAGATACCAGGAAAATTCCTTTTTTTGAATAATGTTTTGAGAACTTTAACGTCCACCTGAAAAGGCAGACTGAACCTTGGTTTAATGTTTCATTTGAAGAATGGCACAATACAGGGCTCCCTCAGCACTTCATTGGAGTGTCAGCCTGGTCTGTGAGCTCAAAGTACCGATGACATCAGGCTATCACATCAGGCTATTGGGAAGCAGGAGTGCTACAAACTAAGCAAATCTAACGCTATCTGTGAGCTTGATCATGGAATTTCTTTCCACAAAAAATAATCTTTGTAAAGCTAACATAGATTTTTGACTTTCAAGAAATTCCAAGAACTCACATAATAATAATAATAATAATAATAATAATCCTTGCATTTGATATAGTGCTTTTCACGTCGGGAGGACGTCCCAAAGCGCTTCACAGAACACACTGTAAAGTGAATTGACTGTATATTTGTGGGCGAACGCGGCAGCCAATTGCGCACAGCAATGTCCCACAAACAGTCGTAGATTGAAAATGACCAATTTAATTATTGTTTTTAGTTTTGGAGGGATTATTATTAGGCGTGTGGAGTAAGGAAACTTGCCCAAGGTTTCGCCCTGCCGGGAATTGAACTCAGGTCTCTCACTTGCAAAGCGAGTGCTCTACAACAACAACAACAACAAGATTCCATTTATAGAGCGCCTTTCACGTCAGGAGGACGTCCCAAGGCGCTGCACAGTTGGGTCATGACCCGAGCAGGGGGGAAATGGTCAGGGTGAGGGGAGGGAAGGGAGGGAGAGAGGAGGGGGAAATGGTCAGGGTGAGGGAGGGAAGGGAGGGAGCGAGGAGGAGGAAGAGAGTCGAGAGGGGAGCTGAAGGCTCGGTCAAAGAGAAAGGTTTTGAGACCGGCCTTGAAGGAGGAAAGGGAGGAAGCAAGGCGAAGGCACTGGGGGATGGAGTTCCAGAGCCTCGGGGCTGAGAGGCTGAAGGCCCGACCACCGATAGTAGGGCGGTTGGGGCGGGGGACGTGGAGCAGACCGGAGCCAGAGGAACGGAGGGTACGGGCAGGTAGGTAGGGGGATAGTAGGTTGGAGAGGTAGGAGGGAGCAAGGCCGTGAATGGCCTTGTAGGTGAGGATGAGGATCTTGAAATCAATCCTCTGGGGGATGGGGAGCCAGTGGAGGCGAGCGAGGGTAGGAGTGATGTGGTCCCGAAGCCTGGTGCGGGACAGTACACGAGCTGCAGAGTTCTGAATGACCTGCAGCTTGTGGAGGGAGGTGGCGGGAAGGCCGGCGAGGAGAGAGTTCCCATAGTCCAGCCTTGAGGTGACAAAGGCGTGAACCAGGGTTTCAGCAGCGTGAGGGTGAGGTAGTGCCGTAATCTGGCGATATTCCGGAGGTGATGGAAGGCGGTGCCAGTTGTGGTGCGGATGTGAGGGAGAAAGGACAGCTCAGGGTCAAACAAAACGCCGAGGTTCCTGACTGGCTTTGAGAGGCTCTAACCACTGAGCTACAGGACATCTATTTAGAGATACCATATAAAGTGTAATTTGTACCTGACTTCAAAAGAACACATTTATGAATCAGTTAGGGGATAACCAAAAATTTATTCCACATTTAAAATTATATTTAGAGTTCAGTTACTTCATATTTTGGCTTAATAGGCATGAAATAATGAAATAAAGTCCTGATCCGTTCTACTGAACTATTCAGGTTGTATAATCCCCAAACAATCTATACAAATATGCTTCCTTTGATTCGCTCACATTTTTTGCATTTGGTTTTGGTTTGATTGATTCCACTGGCATTTTCAATGTTGTGTTCTATGAAACAAAATAGCAGACTTACCAGTCACAAACAGGAAGCAAATAGCAACTGTTTTCACCATGTTCATGAAAAGTCGCTTCCTAATCATCCAGATATCAAATCAGCTCGAAGTAACACAGGCTTGATTTGTCTCTTAAACAAAAACAATAGCACTTGTGGAAAGTCTCGTAAAAACGAAACTGCTAGTAGGAGCCACTTATTTACATATGTGAAAAAAACAGGTCTTCATCTTGGGGTGGAGTCTGGGGAGGTTAAAAGGCAAATACGATTACCATTTCTTGAAAAGAACGAAGTTGAGGATAAATGGCATTGTCCACCATTCATGATTTGATAATCTTGATATTTCTTATTGATCTGAAGCTGTGACCTCCTAGAGTTCACTTCTCTGATGTACATGCTAAACAAAGTTATTGCTCATTAACACTAATGTGACATTTTTACAGAGGCAGTGGTAGGTGGAAATTCGACAGCTACAATTGGCCTTAGGACCCATCCATACAGAATTGGGAAAGTGTTTCATCAGGCCATAGAAAGCTTTTTTTTTGACAGACACTGGTCTCAAAATAATTTTAGAAGTAAAAATTAAAGTAGAAAGCTGATCAAGCTGTTTTGAGTGAACAAATTGCCTCTCACTAAATTAAAAAACAGATGTTATTATCTCCATTCTGAAAGTCTGGAGGGAAAAAGCATTCTTGCAAAGTCAGGGGTGTTCCATTCCAATCTCTTCATTGAGGACAGGTTTTAAAACTAAAACTCTCTGAACCCATACACAACCTAGGCGTCAGGTTCAACCCACAATTATCCTTCCTCCCCCATATCCAGTCCCTCACCAGCATCGCCTTCTTCCACCTCCAACGCATCACCCGTCTCCGCCAATACCTCTTTCCAAAAGGCGCTGAAACCCTAGTCCATGCCTTTGTCACCTCTCGGCTGGACTATTCCAATGCGCTCCTCGCCAGTCTCCCATCCACTACCATCCATAAAACCCAGATCATTCAAAACTCTGCCGACCGCATTCTCACCCGCACCAAACTCCGCTCTCCGATCACCCCAGTCTTTGCCAGACTGCACTGGCTGCCTATCCCAGAGAGGATCGACTTCAAGATCCTCACCCTTGTATTCAAATCCCTCCACTCTTCTGCAACCCCCTACCTCTCTGACCTCTTCTCTTCTCAAAACAGTACCCATTGCCTTTGTTCCTCCGGGTCTGGCGTCCTCCTCGTCCCCCAAGTACTCCGCTCCACCCTCGGTGGCCGTGCCTTCAGCCACTACGCCCCGAGGCTCTGGAACTCTCTTCCTCCCTCCCTTCACCTCGTTCCCTCGCTTCCTATTTTCAGGTCCCTGCTGAAATTGATCCCAGGTCTCTCGCTTACGAGGCGAGTGCTCTAACCACTGAGCTACAGGACTCCATGATACAATTCTAAGAATGTAAAATTTTGATTGATCAGAATATAATGGATGTCACATTATCCTTCCTTAGTCTTCCGGAGATGTATAAAATTGCATTCAATTGCCTTTCATGTCAGGAGGACATATGACATGACTTCCCTCCTTCCCTAATAATGTGGTCACTCAATCCATGACTTTTTGTGGGATGCTGCTGTGCGTGATTGGCTGTGGGTTTCACCCACAAAATACACAGTCACTCCACTTTACAGTATATTCTATGAAGTGCTTTGAGACGTCTCGAAGACTTGAAAAGGGGCTATATCAATGTAAGGATGATTATTATAATTAGTATCTGAAAATGCTTCACAGGATATACTGTAAAGTGGGTGACTATATTGTATGTGAGAAAAAAATGCTACCTCCGCTCAGCTGGCTCCGGCCTCCTGTTTATCCCTCGTCCCCTCCGCTTCACCATTGGTGGCCGTGTCTTCAGCCACTACACCCCAAAATCCTGGAACTCTCTCTCTCAATCCCTCTGCCTTGCCCACTTCTTCCCCACTTTCAAATGCCACCCTTCCCACTCCCTCTCCCCCTGGCTCGGTGTCAACCGCTACTGTCAATGCTCCAGGACGCTACCCCATGTGAAGGGCGCTATATAAATACAAGTTGTTGCTGTTGTAAATAATTCACAGTTGTTTAGTTATTATACAGTTTACATGTAGAATGGAGGTCTGGATGCAAAAAAATATATAAAACTAATAGATTTTATTGGACACAATGATTTGTCACTTATGATTATGACCTAGATCTTCTCATTGTTTAATGTTCAGTCACACTGGGCCAATTTCAGTGTCCTTATTTCTCGTCTCAGATTGATTCACTATGTTAGAATTTTGATGTGTTTTCTCCTTGGAAGGATTGATAAAGTAGTTCTTAAAAGAGCTTACAGTCTGTTCCAACCATTTGTGAAGAAAGAGATTCTAAAGTACAGTCCTTTAATTTTTCTTACTGGAAATAATATTGCTGGAACTGATGATTATTTTCAGAAGAGTGATTTTCTAATCTGCAACCTGATTATTTTTACCACACTGCTGAATTTAATATCTTTCATGGTCATCGAATTACTGCCAATTGACAACTGCAAAATGAATCTGAGCTCTTATAAATAATTAATCTGTCAAAGCATCTAATTTTTACAGTTTGTTATTTGATTTTTTAAATGTGAAGTGGAAACATACAGCACAGATAAGGTAAGATAAACGTTTAGAAAATGTATCATTATATTGACATATTTTCCTTTTACTGCTTGGTGATTTCCTGTAGCCCAATAGTCTTTGTGTTATCAGTAGAGATCAAACTTGCATAGCTCAAGATACAGAGCACAGTTTCCTGCCTTGCTTAGTGAACCACATTTGTCTGTAAGCTTCACTCCAGTGACCACTTCTATTTGGGCCATTTAGATTGACCTTTACAGATAAACACATTTAAAGGAGCACTATCTTCATGGGAGACATAAAAGTGTTCAGCAGAACATTTTTTTCTTTGAACTGATGAACACTGCGTTATTTCAGTAACGGTAATACCACAGACAAATGGCACATATGCATTGGAACACAAATCATGAGTGTTTGTACATAGATGATTTTAAAAATTGCACTAAATACTTGTTCATGAAGTTTGTGGGCGTTTAAAATAATTGAATTCTCAAAAGCTCATACAAATGATTCAGCTTTGCTACTGTATAATATTTTTTCTTGGCAGCAACACGATTGACTAATTTGGTGTTATTGCCATTCTGAATTAATGTATTTAAAAATGTCAAGGTTAAAAGATGTATTGATCAAGAGTGATTTCTGAATGTGATCAAACCCATTCCCTGCAGAATAATGTGATGGATTGCGTAAAAAGGGAGGATACATGATGAAAATTAGACATGTGTGTAGCAAAAATGGGTCTTTTTTTCAAGTTCTTGATTAATTTTTATTGATTAATTTTAGTCTATTGAATCACCAAAACATTTTAATTTCTGTGCCTATTCCCGAAGTGATTCATGAAGGGAAATGCAGAAGAGTGGAGGAAGAAATAAACAGGCTAGTAGAATCAGCAGACAGACGGCAAATTAAGTTTAATATGGGAAAGTGAGGAGGTGCTGTTGAATTTATACAAAACCTTGGTTAGACCACATTTGTGTCCAATTCTGGTCTCCACACAATAAGAAGGATTTAGCAGCAATGGAAAGAACACAACATAAATTTACGAAGATGATACCAGGGCTGGCAGATCATTGCTAGCAGGATATGGGATAAGTTAAGCCTTTTTTGCAAGAGAAGAACCATTTGAAGGGGGACTTAATAAAAGTGTTTAAAATTACAAAAGGGTTCAGTGAGGTTAACGTAGATAGGCTGTTTCCACTGGTTGAGGAGTCTGTAACCAAGGGATACAAATATAAAAAGAATTTAGGGGGAACTAGAGAGTAGTAAGATTGTGGTACTCGCTGGCTGAAGTAATAGTTGAATTAGATAGTGTAGATGCGTTCAAGAGGAAGCTCAACCTTCACATGAGGGAGAGGGGAATTAAAGGTTATTGGAGAGAGTAAAGGAATGGGTGGAGTTTCATGTGGAATGTAAACACAGGCATGCTCTGGTTGAGCCAAATTTCCTGTTTTGTGCTGTACATACTTTGTAAACCTTATTTGCAAGTCTCAGCAGTCAGGTTCACAAGGTCACAAGCTTTATTTGGATGAAAAAGGCCCTTCCATTCTCATCTTCCAGAACGTCCACCTTAAACAGCATCAAGCTGCTTTTTTAAATGAGTTTGGTGTCCTGGTATCAACCACCATTCCTGGCAACCTGCTCTCGTCATTGATTACCCTCTGGGTAAAGAAAAAACATCTTCTTGGAATTTGCTGTTAATTGCATTGATCATTTTACGCTTATGTTTTTCTGCAGTAAATCCTGTGATAATAATTTGTGTAAAACACATTGTAACTAGATGCAGCAAGCTAATAGAGTTGTTTTAAATACCATTTTTATACTGAATACCACAAATCAAAATTATTGCGCAGTTCAAGTTTTGGATGTCAGTTTATTTTCTCACACCAGAATTACTCCTCCCAACTTTAGACTTGTCCTGCTGGGCTCCCTTTTGTTTTCCCTAGCAACGCTTTCAACTGTTTTTTAATAATAATAATCCTTGCATTTGATATAGCGCATTATCACATCGTCAAGATATCTCAAAGCACTTCACAAGATATACTGTGAAATGGATTGACTGTGTATTTTGTGGGCAAGACCTAAGGACTAAGAAAACTAAAGTTTCAATACTCCCGAAGCTGAATTTGCAATACAAACATTATCCATATTTGTCCAAATCACATATTTAGTTAAAATTTATCCAAATCCAATTTTAACCAAATCACACATTGCAATTTTATAGATATTTATTTAGATAAGACTTATACAACTGCACATGGTTTGAGTTGAGGAGAATTACAGGTTCCATGATACAAGGAACTGGGCCAATACTTCCTGATGTTTTTCCATCTCCACAATCAATTGCACATTGTTCCCTCAGATTGGGAAACAATAATAATAATCCTTGCATTTGATTTAGCGCCTTATCACATCTTCTAGAAGTCTCAAAACGCTTAACAGAATATAATGTAAAGTGAATTGACTGTATGTTTTGTGGGAGAAACGTGGCAGTCAATTGGAACAGCAGAAATGATCCACATCTGTTTTGGTCTGCATGGGTGTGTGTGGGGTGGG